CAAATAGAGCTAAATAGGTACCCTATTCCTAACATTGAGGAAATTTCTTTGAATTTAGCAGGAGGAGACAAATTCACTGAATTAGACTTTAGTCATGCTTACACTCAACTAGAACTGCATCCAGATTCAAAAGTCTATACGACAATAAACACACATAAAGGACTCTACCAATATGAAAGACTATGTTTTGGCATATCATCTAGCCCTGGAATTTTCCAAGCTGTCATGGACAGTATTTTTAAGGACATTCCAAATGTTTGTGTGTACTTTGACAATGTGTACATAACTGGTAAGAATGACACTGAACATCTTAAAACACTTGATAAAGTATTGAAAATTGTTGGTGAAAAAGGTTTAAAGATAAACAAAGATAAATGTCAATTCATGCTGACAGAAATTAGTTTTCTTGGTTATATATTGAGCAAACAAGGTATCAGACCTCAACCTGAGAAAACAAAAGCCATTAAAGAAGCACCCAAACCTGAAAATACCCAACAACTAAGAGCTTTTTTGGGCTTGATAAATTACTATGCAAAGTTCATAGGGAATCTGTCTGGTAAACTATCACCACTGTACAAGCTGCTGCAGAAAAATGCAACTTGGCACTGGGGTAAACAACAAGATGCTGCTTTTAATGCAGCAAAAGAAGCTTTGTCTTCTGACATCTTACTAACTCACTATGACCCAGGGAAAAGACTTATCTTAACATGTGATGCTTCACCAGATGGTGTAGGAGCAGTTTTATCCCACATAGATGAAAATGGTGACAGACCCATTGCTTTTGCCAGTAGATCTTTGAACCAGGCTGAGAAAAATTATTCTCAGTTAGATAGGGAAGGCTTAGGCATCATTTTTGGTGTTAAGATATTTCACAAGTTTCTGTTTGGTAGGGAGTTCACCATCTTTACAGATCATAAGCCATTGCTGGGTTTGTTTGGGGAAAACAAACCCCTGCCTGAGCATGCCTCACCAAGGGTTCAAAGGTGGGCTATCACACTAGCTGCATACAATTATGAATTGAAATACAAACCTGGATCTGAGAATAGTGCAGATACTCTTAGTCGTTTACCTTTAAAAAACCAAAGCCTTAGTTATGTACCAGAAGATGTATTTGTTCTTTTCACTATCATGGATAACTCCAATATAAATGTGAATGATGTTAAGAGAGAAACACAAAAAGATGAGTGCTTGATAAAAGTATATGAGTACTGTAAGAATGGTTGGTCTGAAGAGTCAGTGAATGATGATTTAAGACCATATAAAATAAGAAAAAATAGAGTTAAGTCTAGAAGATGGATGTGTGCTATTGGGGTCAAGGGTTATTATCCCTAAAATGTTACAAAAAGAAGTTTTAAGAACTTTAGATGATACTCATCTTGGTTCTTCCAAAATGAAGAGTCTTGCACGATCGTGGTTCTGGTGGGCACATATGGATGCTGATATTGAAAAATATGTAAAGCTTTGTTCAAGCTGTGCACAACATTCAAATCAACCAGCTACAGCACCTTTGCAAAACTGGGATTGGCCAATCGAACCATGGAAACGTATCCATATAGATTTTGCAGGACCCTTCATGAACAAAATGTTCTCAATTGTTATTGATTCACATTATAAGTGGTTAGAAGTTAAAATCATGAACACAATCACTGCAAGTGATACCATTATAGAACTTAAGGAAATATTTTCAACTCATGGATTACCTGATCAAATTGTTTCAGATAATGGGCCTAGTTTCACTGCTCATGAGTTTAAACTGTTTTGTGTAGAAAATGGTATTGAGCATATAACCACATAACCCTATCACCCTGCTGGGAATGGTTTGGCTGAAAGAGCGGTAGGCATATTCAAAACCGCTATGGTAAAAATGGGTACCGCTAACAATTTTTCTCTCAGGGAAAGAGTAAACAGGTTCTTAGCCAAATACCGCACAACTCCTCATATAACAACAGGTGTTGCACCATGCGAATTGCTGTGTGGTAGGAAAATTAAAACTCACCTTGACCTACTACATCCAACTGTTCAAAGGTCTGTTTCCCAACATCAACTTACACAAAAATTAAATCATGACAAAACATCCATTGAGAGAGAATTTGGGGTTAATGATAATGTGTATCTGAGAAATTATGGGAGAGGGGAAAAATGGATGCTAGGTCAAATTGTTCAATGTACAGGACCTGTGTCTTATAAAGTAAAAACAAATAATGGACTTATTGTCCGTAGACATGCAGACCAGTTAAAAATAACTTGTGCAGATAATAAGTGTGAATCTGTCAATCCCACCAGATCTGACCGGTTCACACCAACTCAGTTTGTTCCACAACCAAGGTCTGTTGATATGAGTGAACCAAGTATTCTAGAGTCAGAAAATGTAAGTTCTGGAATTAATGATTTAGATCCTGGACTTCCTGAGCTAGAGAGTCCAGATGGTCAGAATCTTGAGTCACCAAATCAACAGCCACTGAGAAGGTCAAACAGGACAATCAAAGTCCCAGATAAGTTAGACCTTTGATTTTAAAGGTTAAGAGGACTTTGACATCATTGTTTTGTATTTTAATTATGGTGTAGCATATTTTGCATTTGTTTGTAAGGATTTAATCTACCAAATGATTAAAATCATATAATGTTCATGTTACAATATAATTAGTTATTTATTACATTGTTTAACATTTCGGAAGGAATGCATATAATGTTTTGTATTGACTTTTGAAGTGTTATTAATTGAAAGGGGATCATTATTCTTTCTTTTATTATTGCTTGGCAATTCTAATGTTTTAAACTAAAGAAGGAAATAGCAAGGTGATTTTAGGATACTATCATTTATTCTCTTGAAAGCTGTTATTATTTACTAGGGTAAAGGGATGTAATATATTGAGCTTTATATTGAGGGGAACTCATTCTTCTTGTATTAGTCTTATAATGTTTGAGTGATGTCCCTTGCATGTACCTATTGTTCCGTTTCCGATTCAGAATAAACAAGGCCTACATAAAAATGGCTTCCTCGTCTGTTGTATTATCTGTCTAAGATAACAATCCACTTCATATCTGAAAAAGTACGCAAATTATAGGCTTTTGAAAAATTCAAAGTAGAAAATGTACCACTTCCAGTTATCGGAAATCGCTCAAAGTTGATACGGATCAACGATTTTGATAAAATACTTATATATAAAATTTCATCAACCTAGCTGTAACGGTGCTCAAGTTATCGTGTTTACAGACAGACAGACACACACATACAAGATTGCAAAATTATGTTTTTCCGTGTCAGTGAGGTGTAAAACGTCGAGATTTCTAAAAATCTCAATTTTTTTTGCACGATTACAAGACTTTCTCTATACTTCGTATATTCGAGAAATTAATAAGCAATGTTAGAAAACGAATTTTAGACGTTATTTCGCGTTTTGGAAAACTGTTTTAATAACTTGTAATAGGAATTGATTAAAATACTCTATTTTGACAGAGTTCAGACAAGATTTTGGAAAAATATAGATGTTTTAAAAAAAAATTCAACTGCAATTTTGACGTAATTTTAGGGGGGAGGGGGGTCTGGCTTTTTATGACGATGTGTGATGGAGGGGAGGAGGTAAAAATCGTCCAAAAAATCGTGACGTCATTTATGGTTGACCCCCTAAGTGGACAATGTGGCAAAAAAGCGACTCGCACATGCCTAGCGCTGAGTTAGGCGCCGATAATTAGGCTGTACATATACTTGCGATGATTTAATAAAAATGTGATACCTAGAGTACATAATATAAGTTTTGAATTCTTTGATTCATTATTCATGGCTTCAGTTTGTGTTTGCTTTGTTGTTGATTTTTTGTTTTTGTTTTACGGAACTTGTTTAAAATGTTATTTAATTATTCTCAGAAAAAGGCGCCCTTATCCTTAAGATGGTCGAAGGGGGAGCTATTGCTCCCCTCCCCCCCCCCCCCTCCCCACGCTACTGGGCGCCGCGTACGGCTTCAGGCTCGGTTTAATCAATCGAAAGACGGGTGCCGCCTTGTCAATATTATAGTGTTCTTTAAAACTAACAGGATAACGCAGGGCGTTTGTGACTGGTATCAGGAAGTCTCCATATATATATATATATATATATATATATATATATATATATATACTAGCGTACCCGTCCCCCGCGCGTTGCCGCGGGGATAGAAGTAGAAGTAAGTTTGACGAAATCTATTAGGATTTCAGCAACGCGTTACCAATAATATGTTCTAAGACGCGTGACCGTCTTTTCTAAAAGTGAGTTATTTAAATGTAAACAATGCCTGCGCGTGGATCATAAATATCGGGACACTGGTTTACCTACACTACCGCATGAAAACTTTGAGTGTACATTAATCACTCACCGAAATAATATGTTAGAACACACTTCGGTGACCGCCCATGTGTCAGAGACGTACAGGGGCGCTCTCAGGGCCCCCACCCCCCGATTACACTACCGCATAGGCGCGGCGTACGACCACTGGCTCCTTAAAAGTAATAGGCGCCATCGTGCCAAATAGCATGAATGATGAAATCTGCATCATTATTAACAGGATGCTATTTGGCACGATGGCGCCTATTACTTTTAAGGAGCCATGGGTCGTACGCCGCGCCTATGCGGTAGTGTAATCGGGGGGGGGGGGGGGTCTGAGAACGCCCTGTACGTCTCTGACACATGGGCGGTCACCGAAGTGTATTCTAACATATTATTTCGGTGAGTGATTAATGTACACTCAATGTTTACATGCGGTAGTGTAGGTAAACATGTGTCCCAATATTTATGATTTAAGCGCAGGCTTTGTTTACATGGTCACGCGTCTAAGAACATATGATTGGTAACGCGTTGTTGAAATCTTTCTAATACATTTCGTCATACTTCTTCTATCCCCGCGGCAACGCGCGGGGGACGGGTACGAGAGTATATATATATATATTATGCTCTCTTTGACTGCTTGGCAGATGTACGTAATATTTAAATATACGTAACACAACAATTACATACCCTACTACCACAATTAAACCTCTGTAACTGTTTTATTTTTTTTTAATCAGCAAACACTAAATTAACTTTTTTAAATTCAACCATAAAATCAAATATAAGAAACTTCAAAATATTCCATTATGGTTTGCCAATAATCTTAAATGAGAAGACAACATTAGACTTTCGTGAAAAGTGAAACCTAATGTTTTAAGATGATGTTGAATAACTTCAGAGTCTGCATTAAAGCAATGTATAAGTTCGACCAAACATGGACCATCTAAGTCAGAAAATCTGAAATATAAGATAATAAATAATTAGTCTTAATGAAAACTTGACAAATTCATTAGTGAAAATTTGGTCACACAAATTTAAACTAACAAATAAATATTTACAGTTTAGATTACGACACTCTGCAAGCTTTAATTTTAAAAAGCATATAACAGAAAAAAAAAACATTGCAAATTATTTGAATTGATAAAATAATTTAAAACGTCTTTTCAACGGCTTATCTTCAATAAAAAAAAATGAAAATGAGTGTAATCGATGGTACCAAAACAAATTTAATTTTTAAAAAATGTAACTAAAATTTATTAGGTATGTCAAACTGCTGTAAAAAAACGGATTTTTCGCCCGCGTCGCCCAAATATAGTAGCTTTTCACTTCATAGTTTCGATAATAAAAAGGGCCCGTATAGTAATAAGCTTGGTAGCATTAACAAGTAGAACTTAAGCACTCTAATTATGTGTAATTTTTATAGTTGTTGATACTGAACAATATATCTCATTTACCAATTGAAAACAAATAAAATGCATAATAGACTAAATATTTTAAATAGTAAAAAAAACTAAGAAATTTGTAAATTACCATGTGATTCTATTATCATATACATTTTTTATTAGCATATTCAGAAAGGTGATCCTTTTTTTCTGTTAAAACACTTATTTTGTTTATCATTTCTGAGCATGGTCAAAAAAGGCCGAGCTCGACAAAACATACTATAGCGATCACTAAAATAGCTCTAGGTCAGGTAGAAGAAAATGGCCGTTTTCTTCGTTAACAACGCACTACCACGCTTTTCTAAATTGATGTTAGCAAGTTTTAGAGGCTTGATAGTTCAGTAATATAAATAAACAAGTTTGTGAGTCTAATTTTTATAGTTTTTTCTTCAGTATATTTATATTATTAAAGCCATAACGCCGTTCAATGATTAGACTTCCACGTAATTTTCAGCTTCGCCCGATGAGCTAAACCCCACTTCACTTTGTATCGGAGTCTAATTTTTTTCTGATTGCTTAGTTCAAATATTTTTGTCTTTTGTGACAGAGGGTACTTTGAAAATTAATTGCAACATATTTTTCTAACCTTTTTGGAATAGCTGAATATTTTTTTCTGTTAAATGTAAAAGGTCACGTGAACGTACACTTCGTCGCCAGTGTCAACACTATATGGGTATAGTTTAAAGTATAAAACCCCGCAAAGTTCATGGATGGGTTGGGTTTTAGCGATGATTTTAAACTAAATAGTACATGAAGTGTAGCTTGAAATACTTTACATTACCAAAGTAATCGATTTTTTTAGTGTGTTCTTTTATTTCAATTTTAACTATATGTTATGTTAATGCCTCCAAAACTTACCTGGAATGGGAGGGGAGGGGGAGCGAGATCTTTACTACAGTTGTAACAATGTCAATATATATTTATGATCAGTGCACGAGTGCAGATGCATTTACACTTTGCAGTCAGATTGGAAATAAACCGTTATTAGATTCCTTTAAAAGAATATAGCCCTAGTCTACGAAAAAAAAAAACTTGTTACGTTTTCTAAATTATGTTGACCGTTTATGGCGACTATTGTGGTTATTGATTATATATTTTCAGGTTATAGTTGTGAAGAACGACTGTTAAGACACTAAGGGTGAGAATGCAAGACTAGCATGGTTATCTATTTATACTGGGTAGTTGTATTTAATAAGCAAGTGTATTGTGGTTTAGCCCTAACATATCGCAAAAGTTGTTGAACCAGCTATGTATAAATACATATTTATAACATACAGATACATCGACTGAGGCATTCTAAATAAATGTTCTTACTTTTAAATGCACTACTGGTTCTAGAGACTAATAATTATTTCAACAACAAAAATTTCTTTATGTCACCCTAGTACTGTTCCAGCCACCATTGGATCGCATATAAATTAATCACAGACACAAACACTCTTTACCTGTTAACAGCTATGATTATCCTTTATTTCTATGTATTCAGATCTACTGTAGGTGTCATAATTTATTTTTTGTGAACCCCTGCACTCTTCTGATCATACGTGTGTTTTGAAACGTACTTGTTATAGGCATACATATAACTGGTAAAAGTATTTATTCTCTATATAAATTCTATTTCGTTCTAGGGGGCGGTAGACGTTCTTCTCCCCCTCCCTCCCCCCCACAGACAGAAGAGATGTGTGAAAGTTGAAAGAAACTCTGAATGCGACTTTTGTTAAGTTTGAGCTTAGGTGCAAGGCTTAAGGGGGATGACTACGACTATATTTAATATGAATGTGCAGTAACTACTATAGATCAAGGTTACCAGATTAAGTATTGTGGTAATGTCTACATTTAGTCATTTAGCGTTTATACATAATATAGAATGGTGTCACTGATTGTTGAATAAAAATATAATTAAGAATCCAATACCGAAAACGATACAAAATAATTATGAACTCAATGATAATAGAGGCAAAAAAAATTAACACCTAATTTAATTATCTACCATTAATTTATCAAAAAGTTTAGGGCTATTAGGTGTTTTATTTAAAGTTAAAATTCCGGATCCGGTTACGATTCTGGATAAAAATCCGTTTTTAATAAAAAAAAAAATTGTTGTTTCGGGTTAAAATTTAGGTTGATATGGGTGTTTGGTTTTGGTTTCGGTTTCGACAAAAGACAACACTATCAACCAAGCGCCCGTTGTGTCTCTCCCTCAACGGGTCATTTATCTAGTATCATAATATCAGTATTATCAACATCCCTTAACATGTGTACAATATTATTGATAAGTGAATGAAAAATATAGACATGCACACCCCTTGCAGCATCTCTATATCTAATTATCTTCATGGGAACCATACAAGACACCATGTAGATTAGCCGTTCCTACCCCGCTTTCTAGGAATATCGCAACCACCCCTATCCCCACCTGTCAGGTGAGCTGTGGTTCACCCCGAATGTTTATAATAAAAATGACGGCTATTTGGGGCAGATAAATCAGTTTTTAAACAATTTGAAACTAAGGGGAGGTAATTATTTGTTATGCTTGATCTTTTCATTGTCGTCTCGAACGGCTTTCATGGGGGGGGGGGGGGGGAGGATAATCGTCCTTAACAAGCTACTGATAGTATTATGCGTTTTTTTTTTTGTTTAGTATCCCAGTAAAGGCACATTTTACTGGTATTTGTAAAGAAACACATTGAACGACAAAAAGGCCAGCGAGTTGAATGAGAGAGGGGTCAAAATCCGTTACTTGACTGCCGTTGAAAAATCTCGGTGATAGTTTTCAATTGGTAAATGTGATATTTTGAGCAATATCAACAACTATAAAAATTACACATAATTAGAGGGCTTAAAATCTACTTTTTAATGGTACCAAGCTTATTACTATACGAGCCCTTTTTATTATCGATACAATGAAGTGAAAAGCTACTATATTTGGGAGACGCGGGCGAAAACGTTTGAGGTTTCTGCGGGGGAAAAAATTTCGAATAGGTGGCGCTAGGCGGGGTTCGATTTAGTTCCTCGGGCTCTCCCGTGAGTACTATGGTACCTTCGTTCGTTTTAAAAATTGCGAAACACTATGAATATGATGGGCTACTATAATCGCTAACTATACCGAGTGAAGCGTCTTCCTACCTAGGCCCACCTACCAACATACCTAACTCCCTGCCTACCTACCAACCTGTCTCTGAACTGAAGTGTGTGTAGTTAGGTATATTAGAATTATACAATACATGAGATTCAACTTAGTTTTCTGTTTCTGCCCTATGTTTTAGTATTTATTAATTATTAAATTTTTTTCAAATAGTATAATTGAATAGCCTGTTTTAATTAAAAAAAAAAGATAGAGGTTCTATATTTTTAAAAATAGTTTAACTGTCCCTGAACAATTATATCAATCGCTGAGAAATTAAGAAATAATTATTACGCTTAACACTCTGTTAATTAAACGAATTGAATTTTTTCCGTTTTGATAAACTCTCTCTCTTTACAACTAATAATGCTGAATCATTGAGTTTCTCAAGAAAAATATTTAAGAGAGCGGTAGTTATCATTAACTCTACCATGGATAATTTCATTGAGTCTAACATAGAAAATAGTGTTTGATCGGCTGGAGAGAGTGAGAGAGAGAGAGAGAGAGATATGTTGTTATGTTATACATGTTGGCAGAGGCATAGCGAGGGGTGTGGACCGCACAGGGTGACACCATTTAGGGGGTCGACACCAAGGCAAAAAAGCATATAAACATACATGTAAGCGTATGCGGCATATTTTTAAATTATAGGCCTATGTAGGCCGACACAAACACACACACACATATATATATATATTGTTTCTTGTGGGGGTAGGGGGTGTCACCAAGAAGTGCCGCACCAGGTGACACCCGAACGAACGACGCCACTGGATGTTAGCGATAAGAAATTTCTTTATTACTGGTACTTACTCTTTAACAAATTTGTCAAATCCATTTTCTGTTAGCCAGTTGTTAACATCATACTTTGTCCAATGATAAAGAGGGACATCAAGTGAAAGACTTATTTCTCTGTTGCCTTGAAAGATTTTTGGTCTTGATCCTGAGATTCATAATTTTATTAAGATGGTTTATAACCTGTATATTTGTTAAGTAAAGTAATAAAAAGATATAATACCCTTTTACTTTCAAACCTGCATCTAGGTCACATAATATGATATCAAAGTCAGCTTCTCTAAACTCTGCATGTGAAAAAGGGTGTAGCTGGATTTTCAGCAAAGGAAAGCAACATGTGCTCAAAATTGGGAAATTACACTTTCTTCAAATATATATTTGACCCATGTGTCATACACAGTAATCATTTAAATCATTTATTGTACTGTTTATGAAATAGCTATACAAATACTTGTGACAGTAAAACCCTTTTATACTATTGATACCGTCATCTTGTATTAGACACACACCAACAACCTGCATGCATTCCTTTCTCAACCCCCTGACTATCTCCTAGTTATGTAAGCTGACTTCTCGGTCAATCTCATAATTGCTAGACTGTCTACATGACACACAGTACATACAAAGTTAAAGGGAATAAACAAGGAACTATGTATTAGCTTTGAGCTTTACGCTTCCATCTGCTTTTAGCACGACTCATCGAGCCTGATTCATGTGTGCTCTTGTTGCTTCTTTTTAAATGGTTTTTAATTATTTTTTTATATACATATATTTTAGTTTACTCATATTCCATTATCAATGTTTTAAGTAATTTCAACAAATTCACACTAGTCAACCAGTAGTTAAGCTGTTATTGCATGCACTGCGTAGTCATTGTCATCAGTCATGGTTATTAAATTTAACTGCTTGTTGTTGGGGGGCATCAAGATTGTCAATTGGTTCTTGAAAAGCTAGTTAACGTTAATTAATTATAAACTGAAAATAAAAAGTGTTTTTTTTTTAGCAATTGTATGCACCTAAAGGGATGCCATCGCTGTGAATCGAGAAAAAGGTGCCATATATGTATATGTATATGTATATGTATATGTATATGTATATGTATATGTATATGTATATGTATATGTATATGTATATATATATATATATATATATATATATATATATATATATATATATATATATATATATATATATATATATATATATATATATATGGTGACAGGTCAAATGATCTCAGGACAAATGATCACAGACAAAATATCTCAGAAAAAAATATCTTACGGACAAATGATCTCAGGACAAATGATCTTAAGGACAAATTATCTCACGGACAAAAGATACCAGGACAAAATATATCAGGACAAATGATACCTTGGACAATTGATCTTAGACAAAATATCTCAGACAAAATACCTCACAGCAAAATTTTAATAGAGTATAAGATGATTTTAGTTGATCTGAACATTTTTTTATTGACTGTCATGTGGTTTTGTTTACTCTTTTACACATTAATAATTGTGAGTAAAATGAATTTGTCAAACTTAACAAAACTTCAAAAGATATTAAATTATATGTTCAGTAAGTACTACATACGTACAATAAGTACAATAACCAAAAGATAAAAGGATGGCTGAATTTAGCCTAACAACTCAAGCAAAAACTAGAATTGTGAGTTAAGATCGATCTGTATGTGGTTGACGTTCTATATACACCAGAGATAACACAAACCACAGATGTACATGTGCTTAAGTGGACAGACAATGTGGCAAAAAAGCACCTCGCACATGCCTGGCGCTGAGCTAGACGCCGATAAGTAAGCCAAGAAGTAGGCTGTACATATATTTGCGATGAGTTATTAAAATGTGATATTTAGATTACATAACATGACAGTTTTGAATCCTTTGATTCATAGTTTTAGTTTGTGTTTGCTGTTGTTGATTTTTTTGTTGTGTTTTGAGTAACTTTTAAAAAATGTTATTTAATTATTCTCAGAGCCGGCGTTAGGGGGTGGCAAACGGGGCGGTCGCCCAGGCCCCGCGCTTGAAGGGGCCCCGGGGGGGGGGGGGGGGGGGGGGGGGGGAGATAACCAACCACTATGCAGTTTGCTCATAAGTAAATTTAAATAGAGGTGCCACATCAGTTGTATTTGTTTCTGTATTGTAATTTTTTTTTAAAAATTAATCACACGATTCAAACTGCATATATAAAGTAATTATGTGTGAAGTTTTATGTATAACATTTTCTAATTCAATTATTCGTAAGCAAATACATTATACAGTTGCCTTAAACTTAACACCCCTCTTGCCAAGTGGTACTACCGTAGAGGTTTTTTAAACATTGCAATGCATCGTAATGGTTATTTTTAGAACTGATGCAGCTGTTAATACGTATTGTAAACTTAGACACTACTAGACTAGTACAATAATGCTTAATTGCTGCATGAAAAGAAATCTTGTGATTTACATAGATGTGCCGACCAAAAATATTTTTTAACAAATATTGTTTAAAACGTGGAGTTTAAAAAGGTTCCAAAAAGGCGCCACTTTGCTGAAAATGGCCAGAGGGGGAGCGGCCGCTCCCCCTGCTCCCCCCCCCTGCGTACGCTACTGTCTTAATGTTAAAACGACATTGATAAGCAGCTTAAAAACACCATATATATCGTTATAAATATTAATTCGCGTTGAGAAGAAGAAAAAAAAAAACGCCTCACTATACATGTTTTAATTATACACCAATGAAAAAAATATAAGGCCCCGCGCGGATGGTTGGCCATAGGCCCCGCGTACCCTTAACGCCGGCTCTGATTATTCTCCAAAAAAGGTGCCACTATCCTTAAAATGGTCATAGGGAGAGCGGCGGCTCCCCCACTGCGTACGCTACTGGCTACCATAAGTTGCAGTCAGCAAACCCTTGTGCATGGCAGTAGAACATTAAACTATAGGCCTTACTATTAATTATCACAACATTTTGTCCTGCCCATGTATCGGTTAACAAAACTAGCTATATAGCACAGTTAGCATAACTACCATACTGTTAACAATTATGACACTCTGAGTGTCATAATTGTTAACAGTATGGTAGTATATTAGTTTTTTGGAAATTTTATCTGCCACTTTTTACTTTAATTTCCTCAGCATTGTTGTAATTACACAAATCACTTTTGAAATAGATTTATGCATCTTACCAACAGATCTTGCACAGATTTTTATCAGACTAATTTAAAAAAAAAAAAAGGTGTTTGAAAGAAAACTTAGCAATTTAAAAAAAAAATATTAACTAATAAAAAACTCCCTTTTTATCAGAATATCATGTCAAATTTTAAAGAAAAATAAACCGGGAGTTTCTCGAATATTCTTATATAAAACAACAGGGGATGGGAACTTGGGATGTAGTTATGATTTTTAATCCATTTTAAATACTTAAACTTTTAAAAATAGAATAGAATCTCATAGAAAAAAGAATTGTGCACCAAGCGAACACCAAAACAAAATGTGCATAATAGTGCGGAATATTATTAGTACTTAATAAATTTACAGACGTTTTTTGAGAAATCGGAAATAGCGTAAATTACAAATTCCGGTCAACGGGAATTACTCAAAATTTGATAGAAGGTAGAGGATTAGATCTTTTACTTACGTGTGAAATTTCATTTATCTATCTGAAATAGTACTCAAGTTATAGGCTTTTGAAAAATTCAAAGTAAAAAAGTACCACTTCCGGTTATCGGAAATCACTCAAAAGTTGATACCGATCTACGATTTTGATAAAATACTTATATATGACATTTCATCAACCTAGCTGTAACGGTATTCAAGTTATCGTATTTACACACACACAGACACACACACACAGACATATGGACAAGATTGCAAAATTATGTTTTTCCGTATCAGTGAGGTGTAAAATGTTGAGATTTGTAAAAATCTCGATTTTTTTTTGCACGATTACAATACTTTCTCTATACTTCGTATATATACGAGAAAGTAAAAAAGAGCATGTAAATATTGCTGTTCTTTATGGAATTTAATTATTAACTCCAATATGAAGACATTCACGTGAGACTGCATGGATGACTATGGGATAAGCTGGAAGATTTTGACCAGGTGACAACCCAAAAGTTCATCCAAATTGTTGTACAGCATAGTTATAGCCAGTGTTTCTTCCAGGCTTTTTTCTCCGGGGGGGCACTTGAAATCTTCGGGGGGGGCGGTAAACTTTCTTCGGGGGGGGGGCGGACACTGTTAAAAGTATATATTTTCTATATAAATTATATAAATTTCATTTCGTTCGGGGGGGGGGGGGCGGTAAAAATTTTTCGGGGGGCTTCGCCCCTCCGAAGAGATGCCTGGAAGAAACTCTGGTTATAGCATGTATTGACTGCCAAAAAGCTGCTTGTTCCCAGGCTTCTGTCTTATTGTAAGGGTCTACCTAATAAGTGGTATAAAACTATAGAAAGAGGTTTTGGATCTAGAAGTACTAGTAAATAACTGACATAACCTGACTGGCACTGAACTTAAAACCCTACTAAAGCAGAAAAAAGCCCACTCTATAACAAATGATATTGCATACTTCAGACTGACACCATCAAGTTCAAATTGTAGCACACCCACAGTATTCAACATGGAAGGAGAGCAGTAAACAACAAAATAAACATTGATTAAAGTGAACAGGCATTATGACAAGAAGGTTCCTAGCTGTTTGGTCAAGACAATGTATTTTTGAGCTTCCAGTTCATATTTCCTAAAAGGATGTGGTATTTTTCAATTTAGGAAGTCTGAGGTTGTTTTAAATTTATAGTGAAAATGACATCTGGTAAAATGGTCAAAGGAGGAGCAAGGACTCACCAGGCCACACAATTTTTTAAATGCATTCTTTTATTTTTATTAACTACTACAACTTATTAACTTTGAACCCAGATTTAATGTTTTATTTGTTAAGTAAATTAACTTAACAGAATATGATGAAACTTAATGAAACAAAAACAAATAACAAACCTGATTCTTGTTTGCAGGATGAGCTAGAAGATAATGCTGACAGAGATTGATCTGAATTCTGTTGCAATTGATGAATGGAATGGTAAGGCATAATAAGCTCCTGTTCTTTGTTTCTACAAGATGCATTTTCATTCTCTTTAACATGTGTCGGTCTAAAATGTTTTACAATTGGTAAATTAAGATCACTGTTTTTATTTTCAGGCATTTGAGGTAAAGAAAACATGTCAGGTTGAACTTTATTAAGATTGGTAACGGCTTTTTCAAATGATGTTTTGTATGGCTCAAACTGCATTGGCAATTTTTTGTTTTCAAAAATTTTGTCTGACTTGTTAATAAAACAAGACTCAGCTTTTATTTGAATTGCATCTTCATAACATTTTGATTCACAATTTACCTTACACGAATTCTTAAACAGAGACTTATCTTTCGATGGAGGAAAAATTGATGGAATGAATTTCAAAAAGCCATTTTCATGAATTGCTTTGTAGGAACATTTGTAGAAACTTGCTTCCTGATAGTTTCCTTTTTTGTCAGCTAGTAGGTATATGTGAGCTGTGCCCCTATCAAGTAATTCAATTACAGCTTTTTTTACTATGTCTGAAAAATCTATTTCTCCAAATTTTGAATAGCGAATAAATTCTGGTGGTGGGGTAATAACAACAGTGTCTTTGAAATTATCCATCTTTGTATTTTCAGAATTTGGGATTCCCTCAAAAGAATTGATAGGGGGAGACTTGTAAGATAATCCATAGGTCATTTCGCAATCTGTTGTTTGAATTTTATCATTTGAGTATACACAGGTGCTGCAAAATTTATCTGTGTCTCTTAAGGATTTCCTAGACGTTTTACCTTCTCCAGCTTTTAGTTTTCCCAGCATCAATATTCTTTTCTTTGACAAATGAACATTAAATGATACAGGATGTTTACTCTTTGAACTGACAACAGTTGACAAAACATCTTTAGATTCTGTAGGTTTTTCAAGTTTCTGAGCATATTCAGTTAATGTGTTATCAGAAGAATCTGAAAATATAATTGGAGTAACTATCTTCATTAAAAATTAAAATAGTAAATAAAAGAATCAACAAAATAGCTGGTTCTCAGTTTAATCATGTTTGAAGATGATAATTTGATATCCCAACGTTCAGGCCTATAATTTATTTAATAGAATTCATTACGAATTACATTAGAACACAGCTGTCAATAAACAAATTCATCCTGCTCAGATTGAAGTCATAATTCATTATTAATTAAGTAGTTTTTCATAACATATTCAACTTATTAGATATTAATGTAGCAATTATTAGACTAATAGAACAAAGACTCAATCCCCAAATTTTGCTTGCCTTTCAGTGTTTTGAGTTAAAGATTTCAGAGCAACCAGCTATTTTAATGGGATTGTAAATTAGTAAATTCACGTTTGAAAACTAGGCATTTAAAAAAGTTTGAAAATTAAATTAAATCACAGATTCAAAAACAATTCCCTGTAGCCACCCCTTGTCTTGTGGTTAGTATTGGTTTTTTTTTAGATAGTATAGAAAGTTTTTGTTGGAAATGCATATTATAAATTTTTTTGCAAATGACAAGCTTATGTCATTCCTAACATTTAAAAAAAAAAAACGAACAGTGCTAGAACATGAAAAAAAGGCCCTTCCCCCACTGCCTCAATTTATTTTCCGGCTCTCTCACTGTCTTTAATCTCTCTATGTAAATATATATCTATCTATATAAAAATATCTATCTATCTATATAAAAATATATATCTATCTATATAAAAATATATATCTATATAAAAATATATATCTATCTATATAAAAATATATATCTATCTATATAAAAATATATATTTATCTATATAAAAATATATATCTATCTATATATAAATATATATCTATCTATACATAAATATATAAAACGTGACGTTTAGCAGAATCCATCTGAAGTCAGCATCTCCATAAGTAGATAAAGTAAAGTGCTCAACTGTTAGCCGAGTCATCCCCTACCTAGGCTGTGACCTCAAGCATCAACAGCCATGGGTAGATTGTTTAGCCTAGCGGTCTAACTAGGCCATAAAAACCTCAGCATCAGTAGATTGGCAACCCTTGTGGTATGTCATCCACTACATAAGCCCAAGTCTCCTATATCCCAAACATCAACAGCAGTAGATTGGGCCACCTTTGCAGTGTCATCCACTACATGAGATCGTGCACCCCAACTCTCCTAGGCCAAAGTATCACCATCAGTAGACTGGGTCATCATTGTGGTGAGTCATTGTCTATATATATCTGTGTTACCCAACCCTAGGAAACACCTACATTGCCCTTACACTAGAACTCTCATATGCCTGTGCCCCAAAACCCATCCTATGCCTGTGCATATAGGCCTAGATATGCCTGTGCCCACCCCAACCTCTAGCTCTTGTCCATTGAGATTAGTCTCCTAATCAGCTGTGTGTCGTGATCAGATAACAGGTGGAAGAGAAAATGCATGTTTCCAAGTCAACACAACAAGCCAGTTGCCACAGTTCAGCTGTAGGTCTGCTACCAATGATGAAACCAGTGCAAACTGTTACCAGTCTTCTGAGCGATTTAAGTGGTTAGCTTGCACACATGAATAAGAAGCACGTTAAAGTGCTTGCTAATTTGTCCATGATTTTGCAGATGTATGTGGCAATATTCCAAAAAAGAAACCAATCTCTGTGAACATGATATTGGAGCCTGCAATTCGGCTTCACTGAAACAACACCCATACCAAATTAATCCGAAGAGGTTAGCTGTTACCTGTCAAGAGATTCAGTGTATGTTGAATCACAACATTATTGAAGTGAGTAACAGTAACTGGACTTCTCCTGTACTTTTAGTACCTAAGTCGAATGGGACCTACCGGTTCTGCGCGAACTTCAGTAAGCTCAATGATGTAACTAAGACTGACTCGAATCCCTTGCCACAGATCGAAGAAGTCATTGGCCGGATTGGAAACTGCATTTGTGACAAAGATCGATCTGCTCTCTGGATACTGGCAGATCTCGTTGTCAGAAAAGGCCAAGCGGATTTCCACCTTCGTGACACCAGATATACTGTACCAGGACCGATGTTTGCCGTTTGTGTTGAAGAACGTGCCAAGCTCCTTACAGCACATTATGAATGGAATCACACAAAAAATGGGAAAACTGTGACTCATACATTTATGAAGTAGCTGTATATTTTTCCAGTTTTTGCCAACACTTGTCCCAACTCCATAAATTGTTTGCTGAGTTAAGGTTGGCTAATTTAACTATTAAGTTCAGCAAAAGCTAATTTTACCACAGTTATGTAACAACGTTGGTAATGGCATGGTTCGACCTGTGTCATCCAAAGTCGAAGCCAATGATCACGTCCCCAACGACAAAAGTAAGGCAGTAGAGGAAGTTCTTAGGCATGTTGGGCTTCTAGCGATGATTTTGTCAAAGCTTCTCTAGTGTCCCGTCCCCCCCCCCCCCGCCCCCTTACCACCAATCTCAAAATTAACTCAAGATTGATCATTTTTAATTAAGATGATGGTCATGATTACTAATTATTTTTACTATAAAAAAGTACCAGCAATTATAACAATGCATTATGCATCTAACAACAATTTAACTCACCCGAACACAGAGAATAATTTGATCTTCCATATGCAGGAGTCAATGTAAGAAATTCCCTTAAAGGCTTATTTATCTTGATTTCTTTGATAAAGTCATCGTTGTCTATTATATTCGGACAGAAACTTTTTTACATCTCGCTTTTTGAAAATCAGTGTTGTCAGCCATTAAAAAAAGTAGAAATAGATTAGATCAAGTTTCTAATCTAGATCTAGATCTAGATCTAGTGGAAATTTTAGAATCTAGATTTATAAACTAGATTACACATCACCTAGCCTTGAGTATTCTATTTGAGAGAGCTTGATCTATAATCAAAAGTAAAGCATAAATTGAATTGGGAGAATGTTTACACCGGTGTCTGATAATGGAATCTTCTTTAAAAAAGGGGTGTTAGCTTACTGGTAGTTATCTAAATACACACATGGCTGGCTAATGTCAATGCTAACCCTGTCCCTAACCCTAACCCAAACCCTGGTCCAACCATACGCCTAACCCTAATTTCTAACCATAAAATTAGTCGAGATTACAATACTACTCACAACCCAACACCCCTTTTTTACAGAAGATTCCATTATCGGACACTGGTATCTATAATCATCCAAATTAAATGACACAAAATTTAATAAACATTAGGCAGGTAAAACTCCATTTTAGCGTATTTTAGTGTTTTATTCTCCGTTGCTTGTTTACCTCCAGTTGAGCGTATTTTATTATAATAACCGAAACACACCAAAACATTAGGAAAACACGAATTTAATATTTGTATTGTATTTTTGTTTTTCATAAATGAATAAAAATGAATATTCAAAAAACACGACTTATTTATTTGTTTTGTATTTTTGTTTTAACAAATGAATAAAAACAACAAAGAGACTGACTGAAATGCTTTGTTTGTTGGTTGCAAAAATAGAGATGCACACTTTGTACAAAGGGGGGGGGGGGGTCCGTAATTTTGTGACGGTGTGTGATGAGGGGGTTCAGATGGTGCGACGTCACACTTTTGCATTATAAAAAAGCAATGTTAGAAAGCAAATTCTAGACGTTATTTCCCGTTTTAGAAAACTGTTTTAATAAATTGTAATAGGAGTTGATTAAAATACTCTATTTTGACAGAGGCTGAGGTGTGACGTTATTTTAGGGGGGGGGGGTGTCTGGGTTTTTGTGACGACGTGTGACGGAGGGGAGGGGAGGTAAAAATCGTCAAAAAAGCGTGACGTCATTAATGGATGACCCCTAATAATGCTGCCGAAAGTGGGGCGGAGGTGGTGGAATTTGGTGAGGGATGGCTTGGAGTGTTAGAGAAAGTGTGACAACTCACGTTGCCATTTAAAAAAAATAGTGTTAGACACTAAATTTTATACGTTATTTCGCATTTTGAAGGCTGTACAGAAATAGACTAATATAACTACTATTGTAAAAACATGCAATCGTGATGCATGAATTTAAATAGTAAAACGAACAGCTAAATAATACAAATTTATTACAGGGATCATCCATAAATGACGTCACGCTTTTTAAAAACGATTTTTACCTACCCCCTCCAGTAGCGTAGCGATGGGGGGGGGGGGACATATGTCCCCGGGCGCCGACCTTAGGGGGCGCCAAAATGGGTTGGAAAAATAAATTGAAAGGTTGAGGGGGTGCAAATCGAAAGTTTGAGGGGGGGGGGTGCAAATCGAAAAGTTTGTCCCCGGGAAGGGTCGCTACGCCTCTGCCCCCCTCCCCTCCGTCACTTACCGTCACAAAATTGCGGACCCCCCTCTCCCCTGCGAGTGTGGCGTCATTTATGGACAACCCCACATTATTATTTTTTTTAAAAGTCAGAAATTTACTCATACAAAAAATCATACTTGATACATAGATCTATATCAAAATATTGGGAAGGATGGTAGATTTACTATGAATTTAAATAACATACAACTCTATAGTAAAATATTTTTTTCAGTTTTGGCAAAACTGTCAAATTAAAAAACACAGAGTTTGTACATTTATAGCATAAATACAAAAATATCATACAGAATAATTAACAGTGTATCAGTTTCACCATGAGACAAATGCCTTTAAAAAAATACAATACAAATAAACAAGTCGTGTTTTTTAAATATTCCTTTTTATTCATTTGTGAAAACAACAATACAATACAAATAAATAAATCGTGTTTTCCTAATGTTTTGGTGTTTCGGTTATTATAATAAAATACGCTCATCAGAAACGAATTTTAAAAAAGACAAGATAGAAGTGATTTTTCAATTCTTTTATTTCTTTAATTTTATAACATTTTATTATTGTACAAAAGAGCAAAAAAAAAAAAAAAAAAATTCACAAGAATTTTTTTTTTCAGTTTAACAAGTTTAATTAAGATGAATTTTACAAGTATGAGATGCAATATATGCACCTAACCCTCCTCCTTTGCCTGGGACCGGCTAGATATTCCTGAAGGCTTATCCAGGCGGAGTTAAAAATATTTGCTGAAAAAAAAAAGATTATGCAAACTGCACATGTGTATTTTTAAAATAGGAATAGATTTAATTTGATGGTAATCTATCGTTTTAGCGTAATCAATTCGGTCGTCACTAGTAATGTAGGGATAAGGTAACTAATAAATATGGCTTAAATATGAATATATCTTTGCATATTCTACTAAAATACTAAAGATAATTGAATATTAAACCACATTTAAGGGTTAAATCAATAAAAATGTCATAAAATTAAGGTTTAACAACGATGTTCCAGATACTAAATTTGCTATTAAAAACAGCGGCCATCTTAAAAAAATATTATTTTGAGTCATTTCCCTTTAATTTCTATTTGTATGAAAAAGTATAGATGTTTGCTATAAAATACGATTGTCTTGTGTTTAAATATAAAGCATGTGTTTTTTTTTTTATTCTGCCCTTTAAAAAATTTAATTGAATGAAAATAAACATCAGTTCTAGAATTATTATTATGAGATGCAAGTTTTATACTTTAAGAAACTCCCTATTTTTATAAAGCTACCACTACATATCTAATGTTTATTTAAATATTAGTTTGAGTTGATTGTTATTGTTTGTGTTATTGTTTTATTTGCTATTTTCATTTCATATTTTCATGCTTTTTCCCTTTAATTAGTGATTTAATCATATACGACGTCACGTTTTTTGACATCTCTTCACCTTAACCTCCCCCCCCCCCCCATTTTCGCCGTCACGAAATAGTCGTAATGTCGAAAATTACCTTTTTGCCCTGCCTGTTATTACTGTTAAGAAGTCAAGCCATAATTCGAACGAAAAAGAATTGTTTCAGCATTTTTGTATTAGGCCAAATACATAACGTTTCACCCCTCCCCTTTCCCGCGTAAAACGTCGTCTCTAAACCAGTTACTCCACTCCTTAAGTGTGTCGTGATGTCATTTATGGTAGATGTCAAGTCATAACCTCCAATACACATTTTGAACAACCTTTGTTGTCAAAATGTTGATACCAAATACCCAAAATGAGAAATATGGGGTTGTCCATAAACGATGTCACATATGCTATTCTAATGTGACGTCAATTTACGTAGGACTGCAATTCATGACCTATAATGAAAGGGTGATCGGGGTGGGGGGGGGGGGGGGGTGAGTGACGTCAATTATGGAATACTCCTATAAAGCTGTGCTCAATGAAAATGAGGAACATAAAGTGTTCGTTTTCATGCATACCTTTGCTCATAACGAATGATCATAACTATTGCAAGCCTGTTGTCCTAAGCGGTGTTAAACAACCTCAGCACACCATCCCCGCCAAAAAGGGCCTGCCACTAAATGCCTACCGACGAAAATAGGCCGCACTACATTGACTCGGAATGAAATAACTTCTGACAATAAGGCTCAAACCAACTAGCTCCTGGCAACGATATTCGACAAGAATCCGACAATTATTGGCTTGCAGGTAAAATTGGACAAAACAGCAAGTTTCGCGACATGGGGGCATAACTAATGTAAAAAGCCAGAGCTCAGTATAGGCTTGAGTTTAATATAGAAATAGTGTTAGCAGTGGACGGTGCATTAGGAATACGGCAGTCGGCTAAACGCCCGAGTCCGACGATGTCTGAACATCAAGTTTGTCTTTTATGAAGTGCGGAGCATCTTTAAGAGCTGAGCTTGGGGAGGGGGAGGGGTCCTTGTTGACACCACCACTAGCGCCGCTTATGTCCACATATCAATCACAAGTTTTGCGTGGAGCTTAATGAGCAGACGAAGTTTATAGGTGGGGCCGGGAGCCTAAATGTATTTCCGGAGGCCGCTGTGTCACGGGCATTTTAGAGCCGAGCGTCTCAGAGCAGCAGGTTGCAGAAATTAAAAGCACGTGAATTTGTAGAGTAGAGGGAGCACCGCATACCACTGTGTAATAAATTAAACACTAATATAATTTACCGTACTAAAGTCATTTAGATCTATTCGTCAGACTAAACGTCGCTAAAGTCTCAACGCCATAGTGCCTGATTTGACTTTTTTTTAATTACGCGGTATCTCTTTCTTTAACATTAGCCTAATGACAAATGACGTCACGCGCGCCGCGAACTTGGTGACGTTGTGCTAAGTGGGGGATGAAACGGCGGGGTTGAGAAAAATGACGTATTTCTTTTTTTTTTTAACAGACGAATAAGTGATAGATTCTAATTTTCCTACGAACTATAGGTTGATCTAGTTTTTTTTTCTAGAGGGAGATATCACTATATAGTGGGTGTTTTTTGTTTTTGTAATAATGGATGGTGGGGATGGGTAAACACTGAACAAATAAAAAACTGATGAAAGCAGAAGGCAAAGAAAAAAAACATGTGGTATTCAGATGTAACTAATTAAAATTTAAAACTATTTTTATAAACACAATAATCTTAATTCAGAAAAAGTGTAGGCATAAGACCAATATCTACAGACAAAATAAACAACTAGGCTTAAATGGATCACCCATAAACAGTGCCGGCGCCAGGTTATTTAGCGCCCTATGCAAAACTTAATAAAAGCGCCCCCCCTTTTTTTATGCCCCCGTATTATCAGAGGCATAGCGACCCTTCCCGGCGCCCGGGGACAAGCTTACGATTTGCACCCCTCCCCCCTCAAACTTTCAATTTGTTTCTCCAACCCATTTTGGCGCCCCCCACTACGGACAGCGCCCTAGGCGACAGCCTAATTCGCCTTATAGGTAGCGCCGGTCCTGTCCATAAATGACGTCATACTTTTCCCGATGAATTCCCTTTCCCCCAATCGTCACTAAAAGCAAGATGTTGATTTAATATCATTTCGCAGTTCTACTATACCCGAACGCATAATCACAATTTCTAACGAAAACGAATATATTCTTCATCATTTTTAAAAAAATATTTTACCCCGTCCCATATTTTGAGTCCAACGTCATTTAAGAAGAATATGGACGACATAATAATTGACAAGTTCATCCGTACAAAAGGGTTTAATAAATGATGGACCTCCCAAAAGTTTTTGATATCTTGGATGTACATACATACATAGCCTTAAAGATAAGAAGATGGCCCTCTGTCCTACTTTTATTAACAAGACAACTATGTATATTAAACAACAAAGTCAACACAATATACATACGAATAGACATTTATATAAAGGGAAACTACTCTAAATTTTATTTGGAAAGATGGCCGCTGTTTTTATCTACTAATATTTATCTCAAACACCTAGTTTAAAGTTAGTTTCATGTTATTTTTAATTGTTTTGGTCACTGATTGTTATTTTTAATCAATTATCTGTTATATTTTGTAAAATTTGACTTAAATATACTTATTTAAACAAATATATTTATCAGTTACCTCTCCCGCACATTACTACTGCAGCCGAATTGATTACGCTAAAACAATTTGATTACATATGTTGGTGTTCAATTAAACAGCCCTAACATATCTATCACTCGTCCATTTAAACATACGTGGTTATTTCTGCAAGCTTGCTGTCTTGAGACTTTCGGCACTTTAAAAATGCTTTAAGCTCTAACCGTATAGAACTAGACTACCCATTAAGCTCCAAAAGAAGCTTGGTGAAAACAGGATGGCCGTCCGATTTTGAAGCTACTCTGCGCTTTATAAAAAGCACAAAAAACGATAAGATGACACTTATGTTAAAGTAAATTATAGTTCTGAATCTTGATACATTAAAAATGATATTCGAAAATTAAGAGCCAGACAGTCAACATAATATTTCAAATTAAGTCCAAGAAAAAAAAAATTCCTCAAACGATGGAACATTACTAAATTTTCGCGCAGTTTCGCGAAATGGAATTAAAGTATTTACGTCATCTTTGAAAGCGCGATAGCTTACTGGTGCTCTAACGCGGCCTCATGCTATAAATGGCCGTATTCCTAACGCCCCGCATTAGGCGCGACTTATTCGTCGGCAGGCATTTGGTGGCAAGCCTTTTCGACGGGGATATGTGATGAGGCCGTTTTGCTAAAACGTCTCAAACTAGCAGGCTTGCAACATTTATGATAATTCGTTTTGAGCAAGGTATACGTATAATAATGCTTATTTATCGTTATTTTGATTGAACATAACATTATAGAGGTTCTCCATCAATCACCTAGGTATTTTTCCCAGTTCACCTCCTTTCATGAGACCGACACGTCATAGTTCAGACAAGATTTTGGAAAAATATCGATGTTAAAAATAAATTCAACTGCAATTTTCTGGGAAGTTGTAGGCTGAAGTGTGACGTCATTTTAGGGGGGGGGGGGGTCTGGCTTTTTGTGACGATGTGTGACGGATGGGAGAGGGGGAGGTAAAAATCGTCAAAAAAGCGTGACGTCATTTATGGATGACTCCTAAGGTAAAGAGAAGTAAAATAATTTACGATAGAATCATTAATTGATGAAAAGAAAAAACTGAAATGAAAATAGTGAACATTTAAACAATAAGAAAAACTCAAACTATAATAATGGATCTAGTAATGATCAAATAAACATTAGTACAAAAAAACGTGATTTTTATACATGGATACAAGTTGCGTCTCACAATACTTCTAGAATTATTAATAAAGTTGTTTGTTAGGAAATTCAATTTTTATAGGGCAGAAATTTTCTAAAAAATGTGTAGGACCGACTATACAACAAGACAATCATATTTAAATACATTTTCATACTAATAGAAATGAAAGGGAACCTACTGCCTACTCTAAATAACATTTTCTTAAGATGGCTACTGTTTTTCCCACGTTTTCTTTAACTTGCTTTCTCTGTTTGTTTGTCTTTCCAATCAAATCTTGCGATCGAAATTTCTGGCACTTCCCAGATAGCTAGCGCGCTGAAATTTTCAGGGAAGCTTTCTTTTGGATGACCATTGAATATTCAATTGTTATTATTACTAAATTGATCAATGGAAACATTTTATTGAGCATTTTAGACCGCTATATAATCTATATATATAATTCTCCTCTGCTAGCCATTAGAAAAAAAACCAGCGACGCGTACCTCGCGCGCAGTGAAGCGAACGATCACATGTCGCCACAGGCTTAGGGGCAGGTAATTTAGCTTGAACCGAGTTTAAACTTACAGGAGGTAGGCCAGTTTGGGGGAGACGATATGGTCGAGTGGTTGGGCACACGATTGCTATCCCACTCGACACGGGTTCAAATCTATGTGTTCTAGTCAGTAACGTATTCAAACAACGTGTTTTTTACGAGTTGTCTTTTTACGAGTTGTCTTTTTACGAGTTGTCTTTTTACGAGTTGTCTTTTTACGAGTTGTCTTTTTACGAGTTGTCTTCGTTTACCCAAAAAAAAAAGTGAAAAGATAAAATCGATAGCAAGATTTTAATGCAAACAAACAGACAAAGACTAAAAAGTAGAAAATAATAATCATTAAAAAAGTTTTAAAAAACCCACGTTTTCTGATTGAACTAAAAAGTAGAAAATAAATACTATACATCACAATAATGCAAGCGATCACTCTACTATAAGCGATCAAAAACGTGGGGCGCCGTGATTTTCTTACAGTTTCTAATACTGTTGACTCTCTACAAGCTCCCTAATAAAAGTCAATAGTATTATCTAATCAATAGTAATATAACTTTTACTTCGGCGCCCCACGTTTTTCATCGCTTATAGTAGAGTGATCGCTTGCATTATTGTGATGTATAGTATTTATTTTCTACTTTTTAGTTCAATCAGAAAACGTGGGTTTTTTAAAACTTTTTTAATGATTATTATTAATAGCAAATATTTTAATATACCATCTCGAACAGGGTTGATAAAAATTAATTTCAGGGTATTTAAATTTATTTAACCATCAATGATGATCTATTATTCAATTATATATAATATTTTGTTAAAATATACGAAAATATATTCATATTTAAAGACATATTCATTAATTCACGCTCCCTCACATTACTAGTTTTGGCCGAATTTACGACGCTAAACTAAGGTTTTACCCCAGTGTGTTTTCTCTAGCTTGTTTCATTATACAAACAACAAGTCAACAAAATACCCAAGTCGTATTCCGATGTGTACCATACAATACATGTTTCTGATAATTTGCTATTGTATGTCACTTGCATGACCTTATTTTAACAAACTTATAAATTATAAAGTTATAACCAATAATCCAACTACTAGATCTATGAAACATATAACAGAGACTATTCCAAAGATAGAATTTAAAAGAATGGCCTAAACAAATTAGCACCTGCTACAAACGACAGTTTAAATCCACACCAGGCTTATTTTTTAACGAGATAAATGCCCGTTGAGGGAGAAATACAACGGGCGCTAGGTTGATAGTGTTGTCTTCTATTATTTTATATAAACAATTTCAAAAAGAAAATAGATATCAAGTTTTTTTTCCCACTGTAGAAATTATTAAAAAATTCAAAAAAGGCTTCAAGTCCTTTCATAGTGTAAGGGCAGTGGCATTCAGTGTGTGTGTGTGGGGGGGGGGGGCTTGGCGTCGAATAGGGCCCACTCGTATTAATAACACCACAGGCGCTGAAAGTGGGGTGGCGTCGAACAGGGTCCACTCACATTAATAACACAACAGGCGTACAGGGCTCACTTATATTGATACACCACACGCTGAGTGTGTGTGTGTGTGGGGGGGGGGGGGGGGTGGCGTCGAACAGGCCCACCCCATATTAAAAACACCACAGTCGCTGAGTGTGGGGGTGGGGGCATCGATAAAGGGACCACCCCGTATTAATAAGACACAAGCGCTGCCGCAGTTTTGGTAAGCAATGCAGTTAATCAGCCTATAAAATTTGAATGTGAGATACGACATCCGGCACCCGTACATTTTCACGCATCACTAAAAACCTAAACTGAGTGGGAAACTCCCTCCTCCCCCCCCCCCCCACCATCACCACCCAGAAACCTGCATCTCTCTTTTTTCTCCCTTATATGTACGACTAGGTTGCAACGATATGGACGGGTACGCCATTTCCGTATAAAACTTCTTTATCATTCGATGGTGATAATGGGGAGTTTGATGTCTATGATGGGATTTTAAAATCTGATTATTTGCATATTATGATGATGTTATGAAACGAATTGTAAATATGACTTTTGGGTCAGTAACTTGGCCAGCTAAAATAGATCTCAAGAAGCTTATTCATAATTTTGCAAACTTAAAAGCATGAAAAAGAAATCAAATCTAAATAAATTATGATACAGTTAAAAAAAAAATTAGCTTGGTTAGTGGTCACAAGGTCACCCCTCTCTTACTAATCTTTTAGTATTTTAACATATTTTTGACAGTACATTTTACATTTCTTGTCATGGTGTCACCACTAAATGGTGTTACCGAATGTGGACCGCACCTTTGCCATGTGACGCAATATATTTTACATTACGGTGCAGACCGTGCAGTACATAATTTTACAGCACAGTATAAATACACAATCAGGGCGTATAAAATACAACAATTTACATTATTTAAAACTCTTCCCTCGTAAGTAGCAATCAGTGTTTTTTCCAGGCATCTTTTCGGGGGGGGGGGGGGGTGGAAGGAAGGCGTCCCACGACTCCCGAAGAGAGACTACCCCCCATCTCCTGAACAAAATTGAATTTATATAGAAAATATATACTTTTAACAGTGTCCCGTCCCCCTGGAATTTTAGTCAGGTTCCCCCCCCCCCTGGAAATTTCAAGTGCGTCGTCGTCGTCGTCGTCCCCCCCCCCCCCCCCGAGAAAAAGTCTGGAAGAAACACTGGTAGCAATCGATTTCTCCGCTGCCCATGTTTAACTCAGTTGTAGCCAAACGGGTGACGAAGGGGCCCATTGATAATTTTTGCATAGGGGCCCGAAAATCCTAGCTACGTCACTGAACACAATATGGTGTATATAGCGTACCCGTCCCCGCGCGTTACCGAGGGGTTAGAAGAAAGTCCCGGGATAGCCCGAAGCAAATCGCACACTACCCGGCGTCGGCGGACGCGCCTGATTTAATTTAGTGAACGAATATAATACCCCATCTTATCCATAGTCTATCGCACACTTTAAAACAAACGTAAGCGTCATAATGCTAACGGGCTAAGATATTGCGCTAATTAGCACAGTCCCGGGGCGCCACCCGTGCGAAATTGAATGTTTTTTTTCCCCACAGGAACCTCCCCAGGAGTATTCTCAACAACTTCCCAAAGTTTTATGGCGATCTGATGAAAGATATAGTAATGCATAAAAGACAAATAAAAAATGACAAAGTATATAAGGAGGGTATCGCCAATGATTTACCTATTGTTGATTCTTAGACGCCTGACATTGTTTTCTAAATCGGAGTTATTTAAATGCAAACAATGCCTGCGCTTTGAACAGAACAGAACTAGAGGCGTAACGAGGTCGGGGAGGGTCGGGGGGTGCAGACCGCACCAGGTGACACCATTTAGGGGGTTGACATCAGGGAAAACATATACACATACATACAGAGTTTCTTCCAGGCATCTCTTCGGGGGGGGGGGGGGGGGGCTTAGCCCCCACGAAATTTTTTTACCGCCCCCCCCCCCCCCCCGAACGAAATGAAATTTATATAATTTATATAGAAAATATATACTTTTATATATATAAACACGCAATACGAACATAGGATACTCATATCTGGCCTGATCGGTTTTGAAAAAAAAAAATTCAATTAAATCTAATCACAACAACATGTCATGTGTATCACTATCAGTGGCGGAACTAGAAAAAAAGCCCCCCCCCCCCCCCCGAAGAATTTTTTTGGGCCCTATATATATATATATATATATATATATATATATATATATATATATATATATATATATATATATATATATATATATATATAACAAGGTTCGCTCTCAATTTAAAAAAAATTCCATCTGGTACACGAATAAATCAGAGGTTTTCCAACACACGAGCTGGCCCCTTTCTAAATCTAGTCCAACACACTAAACTGAGGCTTTCATCAAAACGTTACTAACCGTGTGCCCTGTTTTCCAGAAGTTGAATTAAATGTTAACAATGTCGGCAGTTCATTTCTTGGATCTTAGGGCGCGGGTTTGTCCACACTAACAACTAGACACGCCAAGGCATGCTGTAAATCCCTCGGCGACGGCCCAGGTGTCAGGGGAGTCACGGGGCTCTTGGACCTACCGGTTACATTACTGCACGGGTGATGGGTGTGACACATTGTTTCTTCCGGCAGAGCTCCCCCCCCTCCCCTCCCCCGAAAACAGTCTACCATGGAAGAAACATTGGTGCGACACCTAATTAGATTTAGTCATCGAGTGTAGTAGCGAGACTTATTCCTAGTGTTGTGGGAACTTTTAAACTACTGTCTGTGGTGGCCAACTTGCTCATATGTGATGCGCTCAGGATGACACTGACGCCAGTTGTATTCAAGTAGTAACCTCATCCGCTTATGCAGGATCACGGGGCGCTAAATCACATATTTCCGTTAGGAGTCCCCACTCGAATATGTACAAATGTTAGGCCTATGACAGAAACCTTTCGGGGCTGTACTCAACAGCTTCCCAAGTTTTCATGGCGATTGGGTGAATGATGCAGTAATGCATAATAATAATAGAGAGAAAAATGTTTTTCACATGTACAACTTTATGTGGCCAGGTCACGCGTTGGATAACCTTCTGATTTAGGGGAGGGGGGGGGGGGGGATTAACAAAAAGCCTGACCCTCACACCCCCCACCTCAATGACTATTAATAATGTTCAATTAATTCTAAACGTTCTAATTAATTTCTAAATAATTATATAAAAAATAATCTTACCTGCCCTGTTTTGTGAATTAGATGTGCCTAATACTATGAAAGTAAATTAATATGTGTTGACTAGATCTAGTGCTGTCTAGTGTCTGACAAAATGTTCTGAAGTGGTGAATCGTACGGTTAGGAAGTAGTTCATAAACGATACATTTATCTCCTCGATACTTGTGAGGTTGAGAAAGAGGGATGGGATAGGGGTCGGCTCGGGAAAAAACTTGAAAGGGACAACAAAACGCCTTGATCTATGTATGTCAGCATCGCCCATTGTAAAACTTACTCAGGGGAGATAATTTGAAGTATAGGCCTTAAAAGTTTACTATACTTCTTGTAAAATAAAAAACAAGTAAACGTATATAAAACTGAAGTTTCTAGTATTATATTATTTTTTTAAAATTATTTGTACGATACAAGATAGTACAGGATACAAATTCAACCACTATCACAAACACATATTAACATTGAAAAATGTACAATGGATTTCGGGTCCCCTACCAATGCCGCAAATAAGAACCGCGCATCATGAAAGTATTGCAAGCCCACTTCATATGTAGCGGCTTTTCGTGCTATGGACTTTGTTGTTTTTTAAAAAAGAATTTTGCCGGCGACAGCGTGTGTTTGATTGTAGGGAAATAGAACTCGGCCTTGACGATGGTTTAAAAAATACAACTATAAATAACTGTTTTAAATATGTAAAGAATTTGTCGACAATTTTTTAACCCCCTTTTTGGTCCCCATCCCCTGCCCCATCCGCCACAGTATACTTTGGAGGATCGGTCAAACAGTTACGTGTCCTCTATTTAGCTATCAAAGGGAGGGGGGGGGGGGGGGGGGCAACGAGTCAAAGAAGTCATTCAAAATTTGAAGAGTTGCCTATATTTTACACTGTAGTTTGTGTAATGGATTTTATCTTTTGCGGAAGAGCGTGGTATAGTGACTGTAAAATAAAGATAATCGTACCGCAGCTACGGTGTTTTTCTTTTACAAACCAAACATTAAGGCAAAAATTAAATTCAAAATGTAAAAAAAAAAAAATTTGGTTAGCCGTGGGCCCCTAAACGGCCTCCCCCCCCCCCCCCCCCCCCGCGCATTGCGGGGTCTGGCGGGACTGTAGTTCCGCCCCTGTTCATCAGGTAAATGAACAACTACTGACTAGTGTCTTTAACAAAATGTGCAGAAGTGGTCAGTTTACAGTTCATAGACGGTTCGTTAATCTATGCATTACATCTTATTGTAAGAGTAAGGGTGTGGTGAGGGGTAGAAGTGAGGGGTAGGGGATAGGGGGGGGGGGAGAGTTGGGAAGGGAAGGGGACAAGAAAGCGCCGATAAGCATCTACATCAATAGTGCCGACTTTTTCCGATCGTCTAGAAGACCAGGATAGTCGCCTCGCCGCAACATTTCCCCAGCCCGATTTCAAAGCGTACCGGCACAGTCAA